TAGCCAATGTCTTCGGCGAGAATTTGTGCTCACACCCGACCTGCTGCACCCTACTGGTCACGACTTCTCACTAGACGTAGTCTAGGATGAAACTAATCTGATAGATTTTGAAAGCTGAACACTATCCACTTCGAACAGTGATTCTAAATGAGCATGATGCCTAGCTCTTGAAACTGGAGAGTATCAACTCAGAAATATTCATTCTGCAAAAGTTGAAAGAAATTAGATTCCTAAAGATAAAACTGGAAGAAGTAGTGATGAGTCTTAATGAGAGTGGATGGAGAAATCAGACGAAGTAATGCTCTGATAATACCCGTATTTAAGCAGAAGCAGTGCATTCCAGGAATGTAAAATAGTACATACACAAATACTGAGTATTTTAATTACTTTTTACATATGTGATGATAAATATCATGATATACAATTACATGTATTGCTAGAATTCGAGTGCTTTATGTCAAACTGACTAACCCACCAATGATCTTGGTCAATCACGAGTGTAATCGAGGTTCAGTACTTAAATTACGAGTTCCTGTAGTAATCCATCACATTACAGTCTGCTTAATAAAGAGTTATCATGATTCACGTTGCAAAGGAAGGAAGTCGCTTCTTTCAATTTTCCTGGCAGTATCGTTTCAACTACTGGTACAGTGGACGATGATGTCAAAGCCAGGATCAGAAAGGCAACATCAACCTTCAATAATTTGAAATCAGTCTGTGAATCTACTGCACTAAGCACATAAAAAAAAATTTGTATTTTCAACTCTAATTCAATTCTATGTGGGTTCAAGTCTTGAGCATTTTGAGAAACACTTTCACACACTCAGAACTTTCTAGAAGATTTGCCTTTGCCGCCTCCATACAGAAGATCAGATGGCCAGAAAGGACTAACAAAGAGGAACTCTAACGATGATTCGACCAAGAACTTATTGGTCAACTATGAAATATACAGATGCAAATGGAAATGGGTTCAACAGATAATTATAAGACCACTGAGTGACATAACGCACCAGGAATATCAACGAGTGGAACCTGAATGGGAAACGACAATTTGGGTGTGGAGGAGATCGTGGGGGGAAGAGATGAGACCCTATTTATATTCACAGCGCCAGATAAAGAGGGCTGCAGAAAACAGGATGAAATGTAGATGTGTTGTTTAGTTCCTGTGATCCAGTCGGACCACAGGGAGATAATATTAACAACAGTACTACTTGACGGGAGAAATTATGTGATAGTTATGTGTACTAGGTTGGAGACTTTGTTTGCATTTCGAAGAAGAACATTTATATACTTGAAATTAGCAAGCAAGGGGTACAGATAAAGGTTTATAATTTTGATAAAAAGTCTTAAGTCTATTCAGAATTATTTTTACAGCTAGACTACGTGACTAGATTCTAAGCGTCAGCCATTACGACGATGAATCTTAAACTGACTGTCAGTTATATATACCAACGCAAAGACTTTCACACCATCCTTCAGTTAACGAGGTCATTTCTTCCTACTAATAGGTTAGCCAATGGTTCTTTTTTCATTGAGTCAACACTCAAAACATTCTAGAATAATAGAGAAGATTTGTAGCTCAGGTGGATGATTTGCAATTAATAGTGTTCTCTGAGCTGGTTGGTTTAGTTGCGGAGCTTTCGTCGTCCTTCTGGACAACATCTTCAGCACAATATTCAGCATAAAGTGAAATGATTTAAATTTCTTCATGAGTGATATAATTGCGTCTGTCTCCCGGTAACCATCTTTACATATGTATTGACCATTTTCTATTGACTTGGATTTTAAACTTTCTGGTCACCTGATTTACTTTTTATTATTAGTTGGTATATTTCGTCTATATTAACGTGCTTGTTAATTGCATTTTCGTTTGAGTACCAGGCTTCTAGGAATTCCCTGACTACACTTTTGGTGTTTCCTCTGTCTAAGATTTTGACATTATCCCAATCAAATTGATGACCATAACTGTCTATATGCATTGATACTAGAGAATATATATCGTGTCTTTTTACGGCTGATTTGTGTTCTTGGATTCTGATTCGAAGGGGATGCCCACTTTGGCCGATGTAATGCTTGTTGCAGTTCATACAATTTATTTTGTAAATGGTATTAATTTTGTCTCTTTTTTCCGTTGGATCTTTCGGTTTGCATAATATCGAATTAAGCGATTTTACTGGCTTGTGTGCTATATTTATTTCAAACGGCTTCAGTATTCTAGCTGTTATTTCAGAGATATTACTCATGTATGGTAGAATGAATTTTCTTGTGGTCTTTGATGATGTTTTCTTGTTGGTGTTTTGATTCGACTTTAAACACTTTTTGATGAGATTTTGTGGATATCCATTCTTTTTGTAGACCGTTTGTAGGTACTTTTCTTCCATTCTTTTCAACTATGGTGTGCTACAATGTGTTTGAACTCCTTTAAACAATGTCTGCACACAGTTTCGTTTGTGAGTAATTGGATTATTGCTAGTATAGTTGAGTATTTGATCTGTGTGCGTTGATTTTCTATACACTCAAAACATTCAACAGAAGTGACTCAAATATAATTACACATTTTTATGGAAAGTTGCATCAAATGAGCTTAGGTTATATGCAAGAAGATTCTACCAAAGTGACCAAATTCCGCCTTTATATTATATACACATATATATCTGTGTAATGCTTATTAGATACCTGCCTTAAAAGTTTATCTAACAATCAGAAACCTCCCGTTACTTATTCTGGTGCATTTTTGAGTCGTTCCTGTTTGAAACTGATTACGTCATCTTCTCATTTATGCTGAAAAGCTTTCAAAACCCAAAGTTGCAGCTAACTGAAAAGACTCAAACTGATATAATTGTGAAGGTCTTAAGGCTTGAAGTTTGATAGTCTTGCTTACTATGACAATAGAGTAGAGTTGATTTAGTGTAATGTGACAGAAAAAAGTTCTGTACATTTATTTCCCTTAATGAATTTGAACAAAGCAACAACTACAGTTCTAGCAAAATAAAATGGTACCATCTTTTGTTTCGTCGCCTTCTCTTCAGCTGCTTACAGGGCAAAAATATTATTAAATGTATCTACAAAAACAATTTTAACATACTTGCACAGAGTTCATTTTAAACAGAAATCAATCGATCAATATACACATACACTAATAATATATACATATATATATATATATGCAATATTAAACACTATTCCGAGCAATAATAATCATACACAATGAAAACTTTTCAGTATCTCGCATTAGGATGAAAAATATCCAGTTACCAGGGCAAAGAAAGACTGATAACTGCTTCTTTCTGAACGCACAAATCAGGTTTTAGGCGCTTGATGGAAAAGGCTTCAGCAAACTTAAGGAGAATTGAACTCTTTTGCTTATTGATAATTTTGAACGACTTTTCGACGTCCACCTCATGACCCGTGTCGAGGAGATGCCTGGCGATGGCACTGCTTAAAGCATTTGTTCCCTTTAGACGTAAGCTTTTTGGTACATGTTCAGAAAATCGTAGATATGCTCTTCTTTCTGTTCTTCCAATATAACTGCTCCCGCAGATACATGTAAATTTGTATATACAGTTGGAGATGACGTGAGAAGGATATCTATCGATTTTTGATTGCACCAAAGAGCAAGTTGTTCGATAGACGGGAACGAGCTTAGCTGCAGGATAGGCTATAGCTAGTGATGTGCTCAGCCTTCTATTGATCATCGTTGTAATGTTATCGCCTTTATAATCAAGCTGAAAGTAGATTGGCTTTTTTCCTACCGTGATTTGTTTTTCATTTGTGACTTCAGATCTTCCATACTTGTTGATGAACCTTTGAGGGTACCCATTGCTCTTCAATGTCCTTTCAAGAAACTCAAATTCTTCGTCTAGTTTCTCTGTAGAGCATATTCTTCTCGCTCTATAGTACAGAGTCTTGACCAGTGCTCGTTCAGAGCTATTCGGACAAAAGCTATTGAAATGTAAGTATTGTCCTTTCCATGTGGACTTACGATTAATTGACTTTTGAAGACTACCGTCTTCTAGGCGTTCCATGGCTATAAGCAATATCAATAAGCAAAAGAGTTCAATTCTCCTTAAGTTTGCTGAAGCCTTTTCCATCAAGCGCCTAAAACCTGATTTGTGCGTTCAGAAAGAAGCAGTTATCAGTCTTTCTTTGCCCTGGTAACTGGATATTTTTCATCCTAATGCGAGATACTGAAAAGTTTTCATTGTGTATGATTATTATTGCTCGGAATTTTGTTCAATATTGCATATAAATATATATATGTATATATTATAAGTGTATGTGTATATTGATCGATTGATTTCTGTTTAAAATGAACTCTGTGCAAGTATGTTAAAATTGTTTTTGTAGATACATTTAATAATATTTTTGCCCTGTAAGCAGCTGAAGAGAAGGCGACGAAACAAAAGATGGTACCATTTTATTTTGCTAAAACTGTAGTTGTTGCTTTGTTCAAATAGTTCTGTTTTAGATAAATTTATTTGATGTAGCACACGGTGATATAGTATTATCAACTGGATGATTTTGTGAGCACAACTTTTTGCTCCTAATTCTATCACATAAACCTATCAAACATAGGTTTTTATTCTAGCACAGTGCTCAAATTCTTCTGTTACGTTAACTATACTTATGGTCCTCCTGTTTGGATCAATATTTTTTTAAATGAATTTATTGGTTGTGACCTTGGTTGTCTTACACAGAAACTAATAGCTTTTCTCCTACATGGTCCTTTTGTCTGCAAAGATGGACACATATTTATGAAGACATGAAATTCTATGTCAGGCTTTCAGGCTTGGTGGTACTTGTTTTTGACTGGATGTGGTTGCTGGCTACACCACATCCAACCTTCCCTCTTCACCGGGCTTACTACCTGATCAGTGAGGTTGAAAAGTGAGTCAACCAGAGACTGAACCTGGGGCGGTGTGTACGGTCGGCGATTATTCTACCGCTGAACTTCAGATGCACAAAATTGACATAATTAATGCCTATAAAAAAATACTTACCCAGTGTAGCGGCTTTATATACATCTTGACAAGATGTAGACAGTAGATCTCCACTTTTATTTATACAATAATCTGCTGGAAGCGTTTTCCCCTTCCATGATTTACTCCACAATTGATCACGAATATTATTCGACTGAAGAGAATTATTCTCTAGTGTTAAGTGAAGGTTATTATCAGTATTATTACTACCATTATTATTAATATTACTAGCATTGTTGCTTCTTTGATGTGAATGTTGATGATGATGATTCGGTCGACGATTTGACCGACGAAATGGAAGAATACACAGTAGACTTTTACACCGGATCAAAAATATCGCCATAATTAAAATTATTGAAATAATTAAAGTTAATGCGATCAACACAACCATAACAATTAAATCACGATCCATTCTTCTTAAATCAGGTAAGCCTAATTCAGCCTGACGTTTTAAATCAGAATGATGATACATTGATTCGATGGAATTACGATCCGTCAAGGGTTGTTTATCTATTTGCGATGGTAGTACAGCTACATACAAGACTGTTGTATTATGCCGAGGAGGTGTTCCACGATCCTGTGCTTTCAACAATAGTCTATAACTATATATCTGTTCGTGGAGTTTGCTTAATACTTCTACTGATTCTCCAGACTGTAATAATCCACTCGTATTGAATTCTTCTCTTGGTATTGACTTCAAGTTCATTGTCTGTGCTAAATGATGAAATGAACGAACTAGGTAAAGTGCTCCACTCATTGGATCCACCTCGAATAGACCATCATCATTTCCATGTACAATAGAATAGACCACTTCACCGTTTAAACCTTCATCTAAATCGATTGCTTTCAGTTGAGCAATTAGTAGGCCAACAGTTGAATATTGTGAAATATTTATAACACTATTTGCACCAAATTGTTTTGGAAATATCCATACAGGTGCATTGTCATTAGTATCGAGAATACGGATAAGAACACTTGCTACAGCTGATAATGGAGGATTTCCAGTGTCAGTAGCAATCACTTCAAAAGTGAGTACAGGTGTTTGTTCTCTGTCTGTTGTCTGATGTGTATAGATAATCCCTTCAAAACTGATGTAAACGTATAACTTCACTAGATTACCACCTGCACCTGGTGATGGTCGCATACTGTATCTTATCATACGATTGGATAATTCTGCGTCGCAGTCAATTGCATGCACCCGACCAATCTGAAATGGAGGAAAAACAAATGCATAATAGGAAACAATGTCGTAAAACTAGAATTAACACGAGTTATTAAGTATACAAAAAAAACAGAAGAGGAGCTATGTTAAACCACCTTATTCCGAGTGGACAAGAGTGCCTCCAATTAAATAATGTGATGAAAAAATTTGATTTGAGTTTTGCAAAAATATCCAACAGGACGCCATTCTTTAAATTGTTGTACGAATAACTCCAAGTAATTTTTAGCAGTGTTGATTTAGCCCAAAAACTTAGGTCTTAGTTAGTATTTCGTTTTATAAAAGAAAAGAAGGCATTCAGCAAAGAGACTCTTTTCGGCGAATTCATTCACTGAGCTCTACAATCGCATATATATACAATTTTGTTTGTGTGTGTGTGTACATTAGATTTATAAAGCTTAGACAATTATGTAATATAAGTATTCTTTGGCTTGGAGACAAACTTTTGATAGCATTATTAGAAGACGGAGATTATCTGAAAAATGTGATGTATTAGCGCTATACATTTCGAACAATCTGATCCCTCACACATTCACTTGTCAAGTCAATATATATGGAAAAGTTAAATTAAACAAAGTGACAAAAAAGAATTAAGAATAATTAACACAAACCTTTGGTAATCCAATCAAATAAGGATTACCAAGGTAGGTTAAGAGTAATAACAAACTGTTTTTGAATACACAAGGGGGGCTTAAGTTTATGAATGGCTATAGCCTCAGCGTATTTCAGTAAATGTCTTTGACCGTTTTTATAGATGACTTTAAAGGTTGAGTTAACATCAACCTTATGGTTCATCTCGATTACATGTTTAGCTATAGACGAAGTTGGTAGTGTGGCACCTGCATCAATGGGCTTGTCACAATTCATCTGTTTTCCTAACCACTTTGGGATATGCTCTCCCACCCTCACGTGCAACGCGCGATTACTCCTCCCTATGTATGTATGTCCACACACACACACACACGAAAATTGGTAAATTGTGTGGGATGTGATATAATCACTTGTACACTTTTGAGGTTTGCAGTGAGGCATATTTTTAGCTTTTTCCACGATTACAAGCTGGGCTGCAAAGTAGGTTCTACGGATGATCGAATTCAACCTTTGTCTCAAAATCCTACTATTTATTTCCCCCGTTATACGGTAATTTGATGAAAACCTTTTTCTTAGAGACGGTATGGATTGTAGGTTTAGAGGCTAGTTGACTTCTACATCTGTTTAAAAATTTCAAAGGATATCCGTTTTCAACAAGAGCATCCATCAATATTTCGTTTTCTTTGTCTATAACATCAACCGTGCTATATCATGTGAAACGACAAAAATTAGAGCTCATGAGTCGTCGGAATTAAACCGTATAGCTGAGTGGTAAACTGAGTTCAATTCCTGGTGGAGTCATTGACAGTCGATGATAAAGAATACCGAAGAGGGATGCAATCGCTGTCCACTTCTCTAATTTCATTGTTTTTTCTGTTTTATGTCGATTCCTGATGAGAAGCGCGCTATTTACCTGAATCAAACATTAAAGTGTCTTCAAAACCTGATAGATAAACTAAATAATACTGTATACATGCATGACAACCTCATATAACACTCTTCATATCTCTCAATTCACTGGTAGTAAGTACCTTACGGCTAATTTTCATTATAATTATTTATAATATATCTATTCCAAAATACAAAGTAGAAAAATCTTACCTAGTGTGTTAATCTCTTCAGTAATATGGTTTATTACATCGCTAGTAAAATCCGCTTGAAAAGTAAGCCACATAGCACACACACACATAGAGATTTCCTTAACCTCACAAGTTTGCTCTATGCACACATATATATACCGCCTTTTGAAGTTGATGAATAATTGCTTAAATATACATTTATGTGTGCATTGATATATGCCTACGCCTATAGGTATTCTGTTGTTGTTTGCCTAATGCCTTATTGTTCTACAATAGCAACATATATAATAAATTCTAATAAAAATGATTAATTATTAAGTAAAAGGTGTATCATGTATATTACTAACTGACCTAATATTAATCAGTAGTATAAATCAAACGATGAAAAATGTAGAATGGAGTTCACGATTTATGACGAGTTTTTCAGAAGATGAATATGAAACCTAAGGTGATCCCAGGATATGTATATTTATATATATGTCATTGTTTGCACACATTTGTGCAGACGTCTAGCAAGAAAGGAGGGATGCTATTATCTGAACTTCGCAGAGGTCATTTGTAACAAGAAATCATACCACACACACACAAGAGAGACGATTATGATAGTAAAGCATAAATTGTCATTACAATGATTTCTGCTATTACTGTAAAAATGTTGAGGGTATCAATCATAGTAGGACAAGAAAGGATGAATCATTTAAGAGAATTAATTGTCCAGCATCCAATGTGGTTTATTATATAAGATATCAAGCTATTTGTGTTTTTGTTTCTTTTTACATTAAAAGATAAATATTCACAAAAATAGTAGCAGGCGAAATGCGTATCCATAGAAGAAGGCTCAGTATGACGGAATGACAAAGTTACAATCCACAGGTCAATGAAACCTGGCCTAAGTGGCTGAAAGGTCAAGAGGCTTGATCTCGATTAGTGAAGATCCCCGGTCTGACTTCAGGTGAGGCAATGGATGCGCATGTAAGAAGAGTACCTTAATAGGAAAAAACAGCTGTTCTGTGCTCCTTCGTTCTTTCTTCGAAAATCTCACAAGTGAAATTCTCCGTTTTCCAACAATCAAATTTCTTAGCGTGGTAAATAAGTGTTTGACATTTTGTATAAAAAGACTGCTGCAGTGAATGATAATAATAATATTAAAAGGTTATATTATTACAAGGTTACTTCATGCTATTAGGGATTTTAGATGGGTTCTTATTACTCATAACAACCAGTAGTATGTGGCACTTTTATCTAAAAAAAAGTATCTTTTGCTTGTGAAAAGATATGTTAAGCTAATATTGTATTTTTAATAAGACACGTTTCAAACTACTACGTATTTACACTTTGAACACGTTCCATTATTTACTCCGTCCTTCACTCTACCCCTCGCAAAAAAGAATCACAAACAGTTAGCACACCAGTGTCGTTAACAAGGACACCAGGAACAACAACACTAAAAGAAAGAAACAAAACCTTGAATACAGCATAAAAAGTTGAAAAATCAATACATATAAATGAGATTGTATCTCTTAGCCTTAAGGGCAGGTTATTCTCTTGCAAAGTTTTTTATGTATGTAATTCTGCCGAAAATACTCCTACAAAAGAAAACTAATCATTGTAATGATAATAATAATAATAGTAATAATCACGATTAAATCATCCTGTTTGAAGCCTAAGTTGGGAACAAGTACCGGATGTACAGAAATTTTTTAAACTTTTTCTCAAAATATACAAAAAGACAAATTAAGACAGACTAGTTAGTACTAGTAGTAGTAGTCACACTAAAACACAGAAATCATTGTAATCTAAGTGACTTTAAATGTTTTAATCTTGAAAAAAATGAAATTCTCTTATTTTAGTTTTAAACAGGCGCCAAATAATTTTCAAAAAAAGTGACGCATTCAAACAAATTATTGTGTCTTCTACATTAAATTTATTCTACGTAATATGTTGTGTTATTTAGTAATGCTAATGTTGTAATAAGTGGTTATTACAGATGGAATAGAAATCAGGCTCACAGCAAGATTTGGACCAATGGCCTGAGGATCACTTGTTTGTAGCTTATCTGGAGGAGTAGCGGTTATTTTCAACTTGTTATACAGCCTACTTTGCTCGTGATGATTACACTTTAATTCAAAAGCAGTCTGTTTTTTTATTCCGTTGCTTTACCAGTGAAACGAAGGGCTTCAAGCTAGGGGTTTGAGGCTTCATTAGCTGTGATGTTTGTTTTTCATGACATGCGGTTGCTATCCTCGCGCCTGACTTTCCCTCTTTGCCTAGCTTAATGCCCATTAAGAGATATTTAAGAGTGCATCTGTCGGGTATCGAACCCCGGACCAGGTTCGTGTTTGACAAGCATTCAATCAGCCGATAGAAGATGAACTCATTTTGGTTACATTAAATTTCTGTCTCGTTAGACGATTAATTTCTTTCTGCTGATTATTACAGAGTAACTGGTAAAAAGTGATCCGTTTTCATTAATCTGTATGAAGTAATGTATAAGGTGTTTACCTGCATCCATTGAAATGTACAGTCATAATACATTTACTACTGAAGCAATTTTACCATCAAATGAAGGTGTTAACTAACATCAATTTGACAATGGCAAAATATCCGTCTTCTTGCTGAATTCCGAAGCTACAGTGAAGGATTCCTCACTGTTCTTAATCACAACTGTAGAACATTGCTGCTTATGTGATAAAATACAGAAAGATCACAGATTATGGACCATTCATATCCTTGTATCACCATTTGCATGAAACTGGACAAAGCGCATACAAATATTGTATTTACATGGAACATGAAAAAAATGGAAAGTTCCATTTCCTTGACATCGCCATGCAACGCCTAGAAGATGGTAATCTCCCGAGTTCAATTTACCGAAAGCCTACATGGAATGGACAATTCTTACATTTTAATAGTTTTTGTCCACATAGCTATAAACGAGCACTAGTCAAGACTCTGTACTATAGAGCAAGGAAAATATGCTCTGCAGAGAAACTGGAGGAAGAATTTATGATTCTTGAAAAGGTGCTGAAAAAAAACGGTTACCCTCAAAGATTCATTAATAATTATAGAAGATGTGAAGGCTCAAATACCAAACAAATCACAGTTGAAAAATGCCTGTCTTCATTCAACTAGATTTTAAAGGTGAAAACATTGCAGAAATGGTCAACAGAAGACTGAGAACATCACCAGCCAGAGCCTATCCTGCAGCTAAGTTGGTTCCCGTCCATCGAATAACATGCTGTTTGGTGCAGTCAAAAGTCGATAGATACCCTTCTCAATTAACTCCAACTGTGTATACAAATTTAAGTGTATCTGCGG